TTCAAGGTAGTACATCGTCTACACTGGTCTAAGGACAGATTGTGCAAATTCAAAARGGACTTGGATCCGACGTGTGATCGTTGTAAACAATCTCCTGCCACACATTCTGGTCCTGTCCAAAGCTACATGGATTCTGGCAAGGCATCTTTGATACCTTTTCAGGACTATTTGGACAAACTGTTCATCCATCACCATTCATCTCTCTCTTTGGGGTGTTGTGCATTATGTTAAAAAATAAAAAAAAATACTTTGATCAAAAAAAATTCTGTGTTCTTTGTGGTAGTTTTATGTGAAGTGAAGACAATGATTTGTGTGCAAAACAGGCTTATTCCAATGGTTTGAGGATTAAATGTTGCAAAARGTAGCTCTTGGACAATTTCATTTTGTGAAAGTAGCTCTTAAGGAAAAAAGGTTGGAGACCCCTGGGGTAAACACAGCATTATGTTAGGGTTGGGTTAGGTTTCATCACAAAAAAAAGCTAAAGGCAGCAAAAAGTTACCCATAAGTAGCATATAGTTTTAAAATGTCATGTATTTCTATGGTAAATAAAGCAAACCTGTTTTTGTGTGAATTTGTAGAAAATCATCTGCTGCTACCACTTTACACAAAAGCTCTCAGACACTTAAAATACGCTTTCACATGTGGAACAAATGAAATATTAAAAAATCTAATAAGGAGCAATCAGAAGAAGAAAAATAATCAGCCGAACTCTGATAAAGGGTTTGCAAAATAAAAAAAATATTTACCCAAAAATACTTGATAGCACCACCTGCTGGTCAAAATGCACAGCCTAAAAATACAGCTTTAAAATGTGTCGTCACAAAATAAAGAGAGGAGAGTGATCTAAAGGGTTTCATGACTTTAATCACATGAATTCTTGTTTGTCATCAACCAAAACCTCAACAATCTTGGAGTGATGCATGAATGTAATCGGACAGCGGTCCAGATTCTGTTCTGAGCCATAAACAAACCATCAGAGAGGAATCCTCAGTTACAGTTTCCAGACAGTGTTGTTAAAACTCACTCACAATGCTGAGGAGTAAAAAGTAAACACACACTCTTGCACAAAGTGACATAAACAAAGGTTGTAAAGGAAAAACAAGCTGCAGATTGAGGAGAGCGCAACAGAAGAAACACTTGTGGTCCAGTTATTCCTGTGGTGCTGCTTTCTAACAGCATCAGACAGAAAACCTTCCAGCTGATTCTTTCAAGTCACACATTTCTGAGCAGAGAAATGTAGGAAAGAGCTAACAAACTGTTCAGGAAAAATGCTGGATTTAGTTTTTAGGTTTGGCAGTAAAGCACAAAAAGGCAAAGCAGCTCTTATGTTTTTTTTATCTTGAATCTCCTTGTAATTGTAGTGATGTGATTATAGCAAGAAAAAAGGATTAAAGAAAAAAAGACAGACATAAAGAAGGGTGCAAATAAGCATTTTAAACACTGGGAGTAAAAATGAAAAACATTAACTGTTTAACCTCAGGCACAATCTGTATGTAAAACCAAGAACAGTAAACATCACTAGCAGTTATTTGGTGGAAAACAGCAATAAAGAAAAACAATTTTGATCATGAATTTGTTAAATTTCCATGATTATCTTCCTGGGGTTTAATGACAGGTGGGAATATCAGCACAAAATACTCTCTCATTTCCCCAAAAAAACAGTAATTTCATCTGTAGATTCAGTATTTCTCTACATACAACAGCGTACAACGTTAAGTATTTTCATTTTAAAGATATTTTAGCATCCTTGTTACAAAATATATACAGAATACGCAAAGAAATTCAGCATTTCTGTACAGGTTGTCCTTTCAGTGGCTAATCAGAAAAAGTAAAACTACATTTAGGCAAGTTTAATAGGTCTTCATTTGCTATTTAAAGCAGCAGTAAACCCACATTGTCCCATTGAGACAAGCTGATTAAATTAATGTCTTGCATTCTGAATGAGCCTTTTGGATTTTAATTAATTGAAGATTTAAAGTGTGTCATTTTGTCAGGATATCTTTAGGCATGAATAGCAAAGTCAAGCCTTTTGAGCAAAAATGAAGGTGGGGGCAGCAACTGAACCAAAACGTTCAGCTAATTGTTTCTTTCAGGGAAAAAAAAAAGTCTTTAAAATAAAAATTATGAGAAATAAATTCTTTGTCTTTTGCATAGCAAACTGTACAAAACTGCTGCTTTTAATGCAAGAGAGAAAATATATGTATATAAATATATATATTATCTACAAATTTACAGACAGAGGAGATGGTCGGGGGTGTGTGTGGAGGAGGAGCCATTAGATGATAAATCAGGAAGTGCAGAGGGAGGTTTGAGCATCACATCCCGGATGTTGGGTCAAAGAAAATCACATCGACGGTTTTCTGTCGGTCCAGGTGAAATGTTCGGAGAGATACCGAGAACGAAGTGGGGAAATATTTGAGCGGAGGGTCGGCGGTGAGACGATGAAACAGAAGCGGTGACAGGGTTCTTCKGGAAGGTAACGAGGAGAGGAACTGTCTGGATACGAAGCAGACGAGGAGCTTTTACTCAGGGTCACTGAAATGTGGACCAACACCGGGTCCCGTCATCCTCCCACTAATACCAACCTTTAAACACCGTTTGCACTCATCTTACTCTTCTGGGTCACCTCTGTTGCTGCTTTAGCCTGTGAAGGAGACAATGCCGTTTTAAATAAAGAGTTCTCTGTTCATGGTGAATTCAAACCTGAGCGTCTCTTTTCCTCTGTGACAGATCAATGTGTCATGTGAAAGGGATGAAAGGGGGAAAAAAAAAGAATTATATCTACGAGTGCTCACCTGAAGTACCTCAGCAGGAGACAAAGGTTTGTCCAACACTACAGCTGCTTTGTCTTTCAGCTCCTCCTCCTTCGACAGAGAGAGAAAAAGATGACATAAATAAAAATAACAGATGACCTTCAACCACATGTTCATAAATTTGTGTCTTGCTGTTATTTGACTGCTTCCCTTTTCTGTGTGTTAATAATAAAACATGCTAATGAACTAACGGTGGTTGTGTCAACTAGGGCTGCCACAAAMAATTATTTTTATAATCGATTAATCACCGATTATTTTTTCGATTAGTCGACTAATCAGATCATACGTTAATTGAATATAAAACATAGAGCTTATCGTGCCAGAATGCAGCTGCTATTATATAACCATGGTTAGATTTTAGCTATATGCTAACTAAAAATTATTGCTGTGGAAGGCAAGTTCTGCTCTGCAGATATTGCACAGGTTTCTCTTTCATTTTCTTAAAATGATCCCACACTTTTGAGCTCCGTTGTCAGGTAGCCATGATACCAGAGCCTGTCTGTATAATGTCTTGTGACGCCCACAGCCTACCCCAGTTACCACTACTGTGCATGTGTGTCAAGGACAGAAAGGCAGATGTGGCAGTGGAAGGTGTCAAAGCAGTTTGGAGAGAAAAACAAAGTAAAGAACAGAAAAAAGAAAACGATTAATCGATTATTAAATTAGTCATCGATTATTTTAATAATCGATTAGTCGTCGATTAATCGTGGCAGCCCTAGTGTCAACCTATTTTATCTTATTTTTTTATGAGGTTTGAGACAAACGCTGACCGGTCTGTCTTTGATGATGACAGCAGGGTCGGACAGCTGTTCCGGACTTGCAGGAGCCGGGTTTGTTCCTGAGTTCTCCACTGGCGAAGCAGCAACTTTCTGAAAACAGCAACGAACAAAAGATAAAACACGTCTCACATCAAACATCTTTATAGTTTTTTGTGTTCAGACATTATTCTGTTTTTTTTTCTTATCATAAAGTTTGAATAGTGCAGAGCTTAACACCACAACAGCTGGAACGTTAAAGTGCCTGTGACATCAAATTTTTGTTATACATATGAATGCATTTTTAGAAAGAGGACACTGATAAAATATTGCAAAAGAAATTTCATGTCACTGAGATGAACAGTTGTTGAGATATTTGCCTGTGAAGTAACAGGAAGTGATGTCTGCATGTGAACAGAGCGTTGCTAAAATGACTAACAACCCAGCCTGTAGAGAAGAATCTGATGTTTAAGATTATTTTGAGTCACTATCAGAGAAAGATAAGAGTCAGAGTTCAAATAATATTGTTTCAATAAACAAAGACCAKAGAGTTTTCTTTGTTAGAGTTCCCCTTTGATGTCACTTCCTGTTTCACTTTGGCTGAGCCAAGTTCAAAAGAAAATATGCCAGTTATGGGACAAAATGGGTAAAATCGTGTGGATTAGTCCAAATTTCTTAATTATAAATGTTTTCTTTGACTTTTTGTACTTGAAGAACATGCATGTCACTGGCACTTTAAGCTGCGTGAAACAGTTTCTAATCTGAAGTTTAATTTATAAAATATGCAGTGGTGCGGCCTCAGGTCAGACCTCCAGCTTGGGAACGGGTGGGATGACGTGAGGTTTTGGTTGGAGGTCTGTCAGGTACATGGCTCGGGAGAGCAACAGCAGCGATGGAGGAACGTTCTCCTTCAGATGCAAATCCAGCCACTAAATGAGACAAAACCACATCATTAAAAACTGTCAATTTCATTTAATCCCATTCTGCTATGGTATATTTTTAGGTTTTAAATTTGGGCTGGGGAAAATTGTATTGTGTGCAATTGCTGTATTTATTCATGTATAATACTAGAAATTTAACCCTAAAAATCATACATAAAGTGGGGGGATAGTTTTATACATGGGTTATTGATAATAAGATTTTTATGCTTTGTAAGCTCAAAAAATGATGACCGTATTATATTCAAGATCGTATTAGACATGAATAAATACAGTAATTATCGGTCAAAATGTCAGCAATTAATATTTGCCATTTTGCAGTTACCAAACCTTACAAACCTGTTTAATCACCTAAAACACTGACATAAACCAAAGTATGAAGAAAGCCAGAAAATGCAGAACAAGGCCACAACAACTGTCATCTATTAATTGTTATCGGCTAAACGCCACAATTAATTGTGATACATTTTCATGTCAACATTGCCCAGCCCTACTTTAAAGGATTCAGCTATATAAGAACTAGTTATCACTCAACAAAACAAGGATATGTTTTATCTGAGCAACAAAAACAGAAACAAAAAGCGAGTTGCTAACCTGCTGCATCTGCTGACGTAGCTGATCTGTGGTGAGACCCAGAGACCTCATCCCACGACTGCGACACGCTGCCTGTAGCTCTGACACGCTCATAGCTGCCACGCCTTCTGCTGCGATCATCTGGGAGGACGCAGAGAGCAAGTGAAACACAGGCTGAGAAAAGATCGCTTCACGTCGAGACGAAGCAGAATCAGAACGGYTCAGACGAAGACGCGCGGGATAAAAACTCTTCGTTCTTTCGCTCTGCGAGCTTCTGCCGTAGAACTACGAGACGCCGAACCTCACCTCATCGTCAGACTTGATGGCTCTGAGCTTCATCATCAGCTGAAAACGCAGCAGGTTGTTCGTGCCGATGGGCTGAAGCTCCAACAGTTTGCACAGCGCCACCAGCTGCGAGCGCTCCAGGTGCTCCAGCGTCAGCTCGTCTTCAAACAGCTTCGAGAAACGGACGATATCCTTGGTGGTGGGCTGCTCCCCGGTGCCCCGAACCTGCAAACACAACGCGGACTCACTCTACAGGAAGAATCAAACATCTCGTGCCTTGAAGTTRGAGGACTACTTCTCTAAAATAAACCCAGCAGGTGTTTGTAAAAACAACGCTGACCTTCTCAACGTAAGTGGAGAAACGGCGGGTCTCCTCTTCGATCTGAGCCTTTGCTTTATTCCTTTGGGCCATCTCAGCGATGGTTTCCTGGAGAAACTTGGCCAGTTCCAGCTTTGCAGCCAGACCTTTCTTCTGCTTCTCCTCCTGCAAAGACGACACACGAAGCTGCTCAGTTTAGAACAGTATGATGCATTTATCACAAAGAACTGTTTTATTCTATCAGTAAAAAAAAAGTCTTTTGCCGAACATTAAATCTAATAGTGAGGATTAAAGTGCCTGTGACGTCAAATTTTTTGTAATACATATGAATGCATTTTTAGAAAGAGGACATTTTAAAAATCTTGCAAAACAATTTCACGTCGCTGAGATGAACACTTGTTGAGATATTCGCCTGTGAAGTAACAGGAAGTGAGGTCAAAGGGGAATATCTGCATGTAAACAGAGTGTTGCTACAACAGCTAACAACCCAGCCTGTAGAGAAKAATCTGATKTTTCTTAAGATTATTTTGAGTCCCTATCAGAGARAGATGATGAAGAGTYAGAGTTCAAATAATATTGTTTCTGTAATAGAACTAATACTTTTATGTTTAAGCAAGTAATTCATGACATCCTTTAATGACCTACGTTTTCATGACGTTCTGTTCATCTGCAGATAGAATGATTAAAGTCAGAACAAGATCTGCTAACAACAATAATCATTCTTAGATATCACTTGTGTTTATCTTTGTGTTTTCCATTGACCTTGTATCAAATCTTGCTAAGATGGCATAATGGTGTTTGTTTATATATATATGAGGCCTCTCGAGACACAGTGTTCAACAGAGTTCAACAGTAGTGTGGAGAGACTAACAGAGAGAAGCAGAGGCACAGAGACAGGCCAGGTTCTCTGTGTTTCCTGTTGTTGCAATAAAACTCAGCTGATCATCCCACGGAGTACCTTCATTCTTGGACCATGTATTTCTGTCTTTGTTAAATAAATATTACCATAACAGTTTCAATAAACAAAGACCAGAGAGTTTTCTTTGYTWWAGAGTTCCCCTTTGATGTCACTTCCTGTTTCACTTTGGCTGAGCCAAGTTCAAAAGAAAATATGCCAGTTGTGAGACAAAATGGGTTAAATCATGTGTATTATTCCAACTTTCTTAAATATAAAGATATTTTCTTTGACTTTTTGTATTTGAAGTATATGCATGTCACAGGACCTTTAAAACAATGATAAAAGACTGATAATTTAGTTGATAAGGAATATATTTTGAAGTTATACTTGTGTTTTGATTTATTGTGTACATAAAAATGAGATAATCAGCACAAATTGTTTTTATCACATCTGAGCAGTTACATTATTGTAATGAACCTTGCACAAATGTCAGTAAGGCAGCAGTGTGTGCGTCTTTCATTGTTTCTGTGCGTTTATATACAAAACACCTGCCTTCTTAGACTCCGTCTCAAAGGTGGAAGGCAGCATTTCTGGGAAAAGTTTGAGGAAGACGGGAAGAAGGAACTCCATGAAAGGGACAATGATGAACACCATGAAGGGCACGAGGCGGAAGAGGTCAGCGCAGGTCCTCATCAGCTGTAAACACAAACAGAAAGAATGCTGACGTGACAAAACGGAAGGCTGTTCCCCTGTATGATGCGTTGCACACGCCCATCCTCYCCTAGAATGCAAGCAGAATTTGTGAAAATACAAAATTGGTTTAAACTTAATAAATTATCATTAAATTTAGATAAAACTAACTATATGATATTCRGTAATAGAAAGGGAATTATTATTCMATTTAGAGTTGAGGKTGTTGAGATCTGTAGAGTCAGTGAGGTGAAGTTTCTGGGTGTTATGATTGATGAAAAGCTGACATGGAGACCTCACATAAATTATCTAAGAACATAGATGGCTAAATCTATCGGAGTGCTGTATAAAGTAAGGGATTTATTTAATGATAGTGCTCTGTATATGTTGTATAATGTAATGGTTGTTCCACACTTGATTTATTGTGTTGAAGTCTGGGGGAAAGCATGCAAAACAATTATAAACCCTATTTTTGTTTTACAGAAAACAGCTGTAAGAATTATCACTAGAAAACACTACAGTCACCCATCAAATATATTATTTTATCAGTTGAAATGATTGAAATTCTATGAGTTGGTTGATTATAATATTTTACAGGTTATGTATAAGGCTCACAAATGTATATTACCTTTAAACAACCAATTAAATTTTGTTAAGAGAGAAAATTGTTATAATGTTAAGGGGGTAGAGATGTTTGTGAAACCTGGATTTCGAACTAGTTTGAAGGAGCGGTGTACTTCCATACAAGGAATAAGACTGTGGAACAATCTGGAGAGCGATGTCAAAAATGCCAGATCAATATGTTTAAGAGAATGATAAAAGTCACTTTGTTAAAGAAATATGAAACAATATAATGTGTATTCATATGAAATGTTGTTCAACAAGGATTTGAGGTTGTTTTTGTTTAGTTTTTCTTGTTTGTAAATTATTATTGTTTTAAAATTTTAATTTTGGGAAGAAAAAGGCACAGATACTATAGCATTTTTTTCTTCTTTCTGCCGCCTTTCATTTTATTTGTGATTTGCATTTTTATTGTATATAAATTGATNGAAAAAGGCACAGATACTATAGCATTTTTTTCTTCTTTCTGCCGCCTTTCATTTTATTTGTGATTTGCATTTTTATTGTATATAAATTGATTTTATTTGTAAAGAAATTAATAAAATTTGAAAAAAAAAAAGCTTTAGTTTTACCATGATGTGTGCACGGACTGTGTCTCTGCAGCTGTGTGTTTCAGACAAGGAAAATACCAAACCACAAGACCTAAATACTCAGGTTTAGATGGATGTAAATAACTTACAGTAAGTTTTAAATACATGATTTCAAAGCATATAAACAAGTTGACCTGACTTAATTATATTAGTGAGGTTGATTTTAAATKATTTCATTTACAAACCTCAGGAAAGAAGTTGATACGTTAAGAGTAAAGTAAGGACATTAAATATTTCAGATTTAGCCTCTTACCCGTCTCCTCTCCCGTCGTGTGAGCACCTGTCCGTGCAGCAGCCTCCACACCGTCCTGCCTGCGATCTTGGTGTCGATGCCGAGTAACCTGAAGCCRTTGTAGTAATGCTTCAACTCGTCTACAATCCTCTGATACAGAGACTTCTTCACAATGGCCTTCTCCTGAACCGGAGGGATGACAGCTGCTGTGGCAGCGGTGGACGCTGGAGTGGGAGCTGCTGGAGGCTGGGACTGAGGCTCGGCTGCCACGGAGTCCGTTTTATCGCCCGTAGAAGCATCCTGCGCAGCAGCTGTAGAGGCCTTGGAGTCCTCCTGCTTTACATCCTGGAGCCAGACACTTGAGCTGTGTAGAGAGCGGGCGAGCAGGGCGGAGCTGCGCTCACGGCTGAAGGAGTGACCTCGAGGACAGTAACTGTGGCGGGAGTGTCTGAGAGGGATCGGTGACAAGGGATGTCGAGGTGGATCTAAGTGGAGATAAGCTTTGGAAGGCAGAGAGGAGCAGCCTTGCCTCTTGGACAATAAATATGGCCCCCTGTTGACAGAGAACAACGTTTGACATATTATTGATCCATGAAGTATTAGAAAATATATGAAGCTTGTTTCATTACACTTGCTTCTTTACTAACTATAAATTGTGTATCAACAATAAAAAGCACAGTTCTATTTTCAGCTGCACACAGGATTTAGACTAAACAGTAACTAAACAAATACTTATCTAAACCAAWGTAATTAGTGCAATCTCTAAATGTTTTTTTTAACATACCATAACAATTTTATTTATAAAGCACTTTAAACAGCACAAGGCCAACCATAGTGCTGTACAATAGACAGACACAACAGGACATAGTTAAAATTACAGTCAAAATACAAACCAAAAATATGGAGCATTTATATTTACAGTACATATAGAACAGAGTTATGATACACTGTGAGGTTTTGCAACATCTCACTCAGACTCAAAGGCAAGGGAGTAGTAGTGTGTTTTTAAGCGAGATCCTGGTAGATCACTGGTAGATCATTCCACAGTTTTGGACCTGCTACAGAAAAGGATCTTTTTATTATTTAATAAATACTTGATTGCCCCCAGTTTATAATAAACATGAAAAATATGATTTTTTTTAAGAATGGTTGCACAAAAAGGGGTTTGAAATTGTTTACACCTGTAAATACTTCACATTTTTGCCTAAAAATTGTTTATTTKACTTACAAAACCTAAAATAAAGTAGTTGATAAATTGATCTTTAGTCCATTCTTTATCTAAGGTTAGCCTTGATTTCGTATTTTTAGACAACTGCACTCTCATCAACCAGTCACTAAGAAGAAAAATGACGRCAGTTTATCAAACAGGCCTGCTTCTGTCTGCGTGCTGAGCAACTTTAAGCACATCTATTTTTATATGACACATTCATCTGATCGCCCYGTTACTTTAATGATTAACTTGCTGAGGAGGAGGAAGAGGTGACAGACAGGAATAGTTAAACTCACATAGAAAAGTGCATCAGTTTATAAAAGTAAAGTATGGGAGACAATTAATTTACTTAAAACCAAGTTGAAAAAAATCTCCACTACTAAATGAATTAATTTCTTTCATCCATCCAT